TGCATATGTTCCTCTTCACTATGAGAGTATATCAATATATCATCAATGAACATTATCATAAATAAGTCAAGATATGGTTAGACATCCGGTTCATCAGATACATAAATATAGCAGGAGCATTAGTCACACCAAATGACATCACCAAAAACTCATAGTGTCCATACCTGGTCTGAAAAGCAGTCTTCGATATATTATTATCCCTTACTCTCAATTGATGATAACCTGACCAAAGATCAATCTTTGAAAACACCCGGGCACCCTACAGCTGGTCCAACAAATCATCTATACGCGGCAATAGATACTTGTTTCGGATAGTCACCATGTGTTAGCTGTCTGTAATAAATACATAACCTCATAGTGCTATCATTCTTCTTTACAAATAATATTGCCAAGGAGATATACTAGGTTGTGTGAATCCCTGATCTAACAAATCCTGTAACTGCACTTTAAATTCCTTCAATTCAGCTAGAGCCATCCTATATGGAGTAATAGATATGGGACTAGTTCCTGTCACAAGCTTAATAGTAAATTCCACCTCCTGATCAACTGGTAACACTAGTAACCATTCAGGAAACACATCAACGAATTCATTAACCACATAAATATTCTTTAATTTAGGAGTATCTCTCTGAGTATCTTTCACATAAGTCAGGTACCCATAGTATCCTCTCTTGAGTAATTTCTTAACTTTAATTGCAGATATCAAATTCTTCGGCTCAGGGCGCCGCTCTCCAAAGAACCGAAACAAAGGAACATGTGGATTCTAAACACCACCTCTTTACAAAAACAGTCAATAGTGACATGATATGCAGTCAACCAATCTATCCCTAAAATTAAATCAAAATCCTGGAATTCAAGAGGTAACAGATCTGGAAGTAATTCTCTATTACTCGCCTCAATTAGGCACCCTCTATATACTACCTCAGTTGTCACACAATCACCCGTGGGGGTAGCTACAGTCAATCCACAATCTAACATGGTAGGTGGTCTATTAACATGCATGGAGAATGACAGTGAAATAAATGAACGTGTGACACTTGAATCTATAAGTATTCGTGTCTGCTGACCAAAAATAGATATTATACTTGTGACCACATCCGGGGTTGCTTGAGCATCCTGCTGTGTAAGTACAAAGACAAAGACACAGCCTCCAGCCTCAGGTCCACTCTGTCCACTTCCACCAGCACCGCTACCTCTAGTGTCAATACTGCCTCCTCGTCATCGACCTCAATCACTCGCTGCTCCTCGGGACACCGTAGATGCACTGCCCATCAATGAACTCTGGATAGAATACTACGAATAATCCCTCTGCATATGTCCCTCCTGGCCACATAAAAAGCAATGCCATGATACAGCAGGTCTTGATCCTCCCATAGGACAGTTCCGTATAATGTGTCCAATTTGCTCGCAACGGTAACAAGTAACTACACTTTCTCGAGACTGTCCCATCTCTCGACCCGGTGCAAATAAAGATGATCCACTCACTCCATGTCCTCGACTCTAGGATGGAACTCTTGATCTCTTCTTGCTTTTACCCTTCAAAAACATTCCTTTCTAGGCTCTACTAAAAGAACTTCCCATGGAACCCAGTCCACTAGGCTCATATCTTCCCCTTCTTGCCTGCTCACTTGCACTTTTCTTCTCTTTCAGCTCAGCTTCCACAATCAAGGCTTTGTTGTATGATTCTAAAAATGTTGTTAACTCTAGCATCGAAACGAGGGATCGAATATTGTAATGTAGCCCAATCTGGAATCTCCTGCATCTTTCCCCCTTATTTGCTACAACAGAAAGCATAAATCTGGACAAAGTACTAAATATACCCTCGTACTCCAACATTGACTGATTTTACTGCTGCAGATGTAAGAATTCATTCTGTTTCTGGTACCGGTAACTCAAGGGAAAATACTTCTTGTCGAAAGCATCTGCAAACTGTCGCCATGTGAAAATTCTAGGAGTTGAACTGGCCTCCCCCTCAATGCACACTGACAGCAATGCTCTCTCCGTGGCCTTCCACCAATACTGGGCCTCCTTATAAACATTATTATCACATGTGTGAATTTTGATCCAATTGACCCGACATTTTGCATGCATTAGTACATGAGTAACTATTAACTGTGAGAAATATATTGATATTACAATTACAAATCTATTAGGTGAAACAGGTGGGACATTCGATGTTGAGACAGATATGGTAACGGTGAAGGGATTCACCGATGGGTCCAAAGGCCCGTAGATCTGTACATTTGAGGTGAGTATGTATTTTTATATGTTTTAAAAATGCTATTATAAGATGATAGTAAATGATAGAATTTAATAGCAATTCTCTAGGATTATGTGACACGTGCTTATGTGATTGAATGATGCTTTGTACTTTGTATTATGTATTATGGAATGTGGCGCATTGTTTGAGACAAGAACGTCGATGCCTGATCACCGGGCGAGCAGTGGTGTGCTAGCACTGTGGTGTTCCTGGGAGGTTCGGGAGATACAGATCCATGTGAGATCGACTACCTGATGAGGGATAGTGTGAATGTGTTGTGGCTTGTGAATTCTTTAGAATTTGAATGATGTTGTTGTTTGATACGTGTATCTATGTAGTATCTATTTACTTTTGTGTATTTCTATCATTTCTATTTCATATACAACATGTATACTCACTGAGCGCGTGATTTAACTCACACCTCTATAGTTTCTTTGTTATTTTTGGTATTATAGAAGGAGTTGCAAATTAGTCCACTGTCCAATCGGTTGAGTACTGTCTTGTGGAGTTGAGCTCAGTCCAAAAGTGGTCCAATGAAGTTAGTGTGATATTACTCAGGTCGTATGTCTGTTAATTATGTATCTAGTTTTAATGAGTTGAGTGATACAAGTTGAGTGTCTGTATAATTATTTGTTGAGTTGTATATTATGTTGAGTGAGAGATTATAATAGCAGGTTAATAGTGTATAATTATAAACAGACTCAACAAACATACTTTGTAATGTATGTTAATGGGTATGAGATTTTGTATATGTATATAACCTGAAAAAAAAACAAATAGTGCATGTGTTATATATAGTACAGGTAATGAGTCAGGTATTACCATCATGCTTAATGACTAAGGTGATGGGCGGTGTTGTTGCACCTGTGAGATAAGTTAGTGTTTTATTAATCCAGATTATAAATGTAAACAGGTGTATCAAAAATATAGTCGCGTCTTATCCTTAGGAGACGGGGATGGGGTGTGACAAATTAGTTGATATCAAAGTTAGAGTTTATAGTTTTGTAGTCGAGTTGAATCTAGTGTGACAGTGGACTTAGGGATTGGTCTATTTAGGTGGAGTGTTAGAGGTCCATGTGAGTGTGTGTAATGTACATTGCATGCCATTGTTACCCCATATGCGATACTAACATCTGTTACAATGATACATGGAGGGGGAAGGGTACTCTATTAGGACTGGAGATAGAGAAAAAAGACCACAAGTGGAGGAGGAACTAGGTTTTCGGGGGGCCAGACAACTGTGGGAGGTAGCACCTAAGTATTTTAAGCAACACACAATGCGAGTGGAAACAGTGAAGCTCAGGGGTACATTGTACAAGCAGTTTAAAAAGCTAGATCCACCAATATTCATGGGAACCGCAAGTCCATTCGAAGTAGAGAATTGGTTACGGTGCATTGAGAAGATATTTAGGCTGATGGGAGTTTGCAAGGAAGGTAAATTGTTGTTGGCCACTTTCAATGTTTTGGCATTATCGACACCCATTTTCAACCTCTATCGCACTTGTCTTTTAAAATAGCTACACTTAAACTCACATACACATTTGATCATGCAAAACAGCTCCTTAATTGAACCCTTACCCTCTATTCCACTATCACAAATCTCGGTTTCAACCTAGCCCACCAAAAGTATCCCGAACATCTCAAATGTTTATTTTTCACACTTTCCTCACACCCAGTTGAATACCTATTTGAAACCATTCCTTAACATCCCTTTAATTATGCTTAAGACACTTAAGTAGACTCACACAAAGTCTCTTTTAAAATCTAATTAAAACAGCCCACATACACACATGTTTAAAATTAATCACACACACACACACACTAAAATGAACACACACACACCCTTATACCTTCCTCTTGTTTTCTTCTTCTTTACCCACCTTCTTCTTGCTCTCTCTCACTCTCGGTTTGACATGGAGGTTTTCTCCAAGTTCCTCCCTTTTTGTTTTCTTTCTTCTCCCTCTCGGTTTGAACTAGAAACACCCACCAAAAGGTTGGTTCCTCTGTGCCTCCTTGCTCACGACTCAAGTAGACACACACACATATGTTTTCCTCTCTCTCTTGCTTTCCATCGCTCACGATTTCAGAAAAGAAAGAACACACACTAAATCATGTTTTAAACACACTCACACCACTACACCTTAAATCACACACACACACATCCACCTAGCAATTACATTAACTCACCCACTTTATATATCAACACATATAAGGGTGAGTCATTCTAATTTGATAATTATGCTTGCCTCCCCCTAAATTCTTAAATAATTTCAAAATCAACTCACTACTATTTACACATGAAATTACTATAAAATGAGTCTCACTAATACATCACTAACACAGTCCACATACCCGATGTATATTCACACATATCGTGGCTAAGAAGGATTTACTTTAATTAACTCTTTAATAATTTTACATAATTATAATTCAGCCCACATAATTATGCTAATATCCACAAAATGTATGATTGGGTCTCACATCGCGTGTTTTGGATTTTTTATGTTTTCAAAAGCAACGATTTAGATATTTTCATATTTTAGTCTTATTTTTTAACCGCAGCTAAAAAAAAAAATTTATCAAACATCATTTTATTTTTTTTTGCCATAAAAAAAAAAAAAACACAAAAACTCTATGCTACCAAACAGCACCTTAATTTTCAAAACGATTATAAGAAAAGTAAAAACATATTATCTGTCTTTAACTTGACTCTACGGACGAATCGAACTTCCCGGCAACCCCAAAAACAACGCAATCTTTGAGAGAGAACATTTGGAGTTTGAATCCGTAAGAGAGAACTTGCCGAAGAATTTGTAAAAACAGAGAAAGAAATTACAAATGGTGGCAGCCAAGATGACGAACGCCATGGAAGTAGCGAAGGAGGAAGCTCCGGAGGAGAATCACCGTAGCTCCCACATTCATTCTTCTTCTCTGGCCGTCCACCACTCTCTTCCTCTTTCCGATATGAAACCCCGCATCGTGTACTCTCTCTGTCTCTGTCTCTGTCTCTGTCTCTATCTCTCTCTCTCTCTCTCTCTCTCTCTCTCTCTCTCTTGTTTTGATTGTTTTTGCCAACCAATTTGGTTGAATTCACTTTTGGCAGAGAGCTGTTCAAGGATTTGTTCAAGAACTGGTCAAAATTAGACGATTCCCACTTCTCTGTCCAGACAGTAGCCGGTGGAATCACCAATCTCTGTGCGTAATTTGATTTGCCTTGTTTATCTGCCTAATTTGAACCATTTATTTATTCATTGCATTTATGCTAAGTCAACATATCTATTCTCAAGTCAGTAATCATTCTTTTGTTCGTTCAAGTGTACTCTAAGGATTTTTTTCTCTTATTGTTATTGCAGTACTTAAGGTATCTGTAAGAGAAGAAAATGGGGATGTTGTGGATATGACGGTTAGATTGTATGGTCCCAATACTGAATTTGTCATTGATCGTGAACGGGAGCTGCAGGTAAGTCCTTGAGGTTATTGCAGTTGAAATGTACTTATTTTTGACATATTAATCTTGTTATGTGCACTAATTAATTGGTGTTGGTGTAATTTTCTGCCTACCCTGCCTTGGTACACTTATACTAATTGTATGAAACTTCTGTTATAGTACTAATTGTATGAAACTTCTGTTATAGTTTTGGTTTTATGCTAATTGATCTTCACTATATCTGGCTATTATTACCATGAAATATCGTGGAGCTTCTATTTAATTTGAAAAATAAGTGTTTCAATGGAGTTTCTCTAGAAGACACACTGCTTATGAATTTCGTTACTATCTTATGACCAGTATTTTTCTTCAAAATTATGAAATTTGTGATATTGAGAATGATCTTAATGTTTTGCATGAATCTGTTAGATAATGTCATGACTCGCCTGCAATATGTATTTTTTTTGGGACCTAAATTAGGCTAAACTTTTGGCGAAAATAAGTTACAAATGATGTCCATCTTTGTATCTTTATATAACTATCTTGCTTAATGTTGTCTTTAGGCTATTCAATACCTCTCGGCTGCAGGATTTGGAGCCAAGTTGCTTGGAGTTTTCACTAATGGCATGGTGCAATCATTTATAAATGCACGTACCCTAACCCCATCGGGTAACCATTCTGAGCACATTTTTTAGTGAAACGAATGATGGGATTTCTTAGAGCATGAGTTGTATATCATCTTTATGGAACTGTTAGCTACAAATAGCAATGCTCTCATCCATTGTTGATTTGCGGCAACAGTCTCCCATCATTGTAGCTCGCTAGCCATGTAAAACTATTTTCACTTTTTTCAGCCGTTGCTATTGCCATTCATTCCATTTTTCTATTATTATCAAACTGTGAAACTTAATGTTGACCATTGTTTGCTGTTTGTGTGGTTTGCTATACGTTTATTTCTTTAGTTTCCATCATTATATATTTATTGCATATTTGCATTGCATGCTTTGAAAGTCTTTATACTGAAGGTTGTGCTCTCTGGAGCTCTTTTGACTATCGAAATTAAGGCATTATGCATTTCATGCTTTGGAAACACTTTCCTAATATAAGGAACTGTGTCACTTGCCTCATAGGGTGAACTTCGAATGTTAATGTGAGTTATTTCTTCACCAGTGCTTTAGTTGACTGACTCCCTCTCCTTACTTGATGTTGACAATCTTTATTTCTTGGAATCTTGTTCCCATGATTCGATGTAAATGACAAGCCCTTCTATGCAAAGTTTTGATGGCCATTAAAAAAAAAATAAAGAGAGTTTATTTCATATGCAGATTGGTTGTTTTCTTATTTGTGAACGGTTTTCAATGAAAATATGATCTTTCCATAAATGGAGCGCCTGATGCCCTAATCTTGCTTTCTACGTGGTTTTCCAAGCATGAATTGCTTTCTTGATATCTCTGTTGGCATCTGCCTTTTCAACCAGAGAAAATAGATTCAGGGAAAAATGTTGAATAAAAAGGTTGGTGACATTTAACCTGTTTCTTGACATTCATCTTCTTTTATTGTATGTACAGACATGAGAAAGCCGAAGATAGCAGCCGAAATTGCGAAGCAGCTTCGTGCATTTCATAAAGTGGAAGTTCCTGGTTCCAAAGAACCTCAACTGTGGAATGACATGTTCAAGTTTTTCGAAAAAGGTACTTTGTTACTTGACTAGCTTTCTCCACCTAGCAATGCATTCTCATGCATATACCGGTTTTCCCCAGTTGGGATAAGAAATAAAGTGATTCCCAAATTTTGACAGTTGGGAATCATTGTTTTAAATAAACGACTATTATCTGTCGGTCTGTCCCATGTTACTCATTTCATGCCTGAAAAACCATTTTTCTGTTGCTCGCAGCATCCACTCTTGAGTTTGATGATAGTGAGAAGCAGCAGAAGTATGAGACAATTTCATTTAAAGGGGTTCATACTGAAATCATTGAGCTCAAGGTAATTAGTCATCTCATGGCTTTTATTTTAATCGATACAGCACCATCCGTTTTCTATGCGTTCTAGTTAAAAGATGGGCATATCTATGTCAAAATGTAGTAAGTACTGAAGAATCTTGCAATGGAATTAAATTATGCCTATGGGATGAATGTTGTTATTCTTATATTATGCCAATTATCATTTAGCGACAGAAGTTTCATTGGTGCAGGAAACCAAGCATGAAGTTGATTATCTTCTTGTTTGACATTTGCTACTATGGTATGGTCAACCTGCAAAATTAAGAATCACATGGTAGGAAGTTTTTCTTAGAAGCAGATTCATGTTCCATGATTGATCCTATGCCAGCGTTGAATTACTAATAATTGGATGACTTACCTTGAGCTTCTGAAACTGCATATATATAGATCTTGCCAACAAAAGGTCAAACTGGAGTGCAGATGAGCAAAGCATAAAGCTCCATATCTGCCTCAATCCTGTGCTAGAATGCTTGAGCCTTTTTTTTTTTTTGCAATTTATTATTTTAATTTTGAAGCGTTCTCTTGAAGTTTCCTTTTGATTAGGTTTGGTGTCTTCTCAAGTCTTACTCTTTCAACCAATGCCCGAAAATTGATCTACTATTGAAGAAACAAAAAATTACATTTTTGCTACCTTCATATCCTGATTCTGTTGGGTTTGTGTATGGTTCAAAGAACTGTATTTTTTATGTGAAGACATGTTTTGTTATTCTGAGACAGGAATTGACAGACCGCCTTAACTCCCCGGTGGTGTTTTCTCACAATGACTTACTTTCTGGGAACTTGATGCTCAATGACGATGAAGGTAACACATGGAACCAGGTTTTCATTGAATCTGTATATTAAGATCTTAAACCTGAGTTATGAACCATGATATATTCCTGAGTTCCTGTTTGCAAATGCTCTTACCTCTATGTATTATGTATATGTTATGTGCGCATCTGTCAGACATACAGCCATATATGGACCAACGTTCTCCATGATTTGGAAAGATAGATGTTAGATGCATTTTGCTTATGCCTTCTATATGTAATTCTCTATTTTATCACGTAATGCCTATGATCATTGCTTATGAACAAACTTGAGGTACATGGATTAGTGCTTTTCTGGGCACATGCACTATCCATGACCTTGTGGTTCTGTTTAAGCTAGTACATGTGATGTACTGTGAAAGAAAGGTACAAGCAAGTAAATGATGGGATGAACTCCCATATTACTTGTGACGCCCCTAAAACCGGAGGTCCTTTTTCAACCGTTGACCACCCGTCAACTTGCGGAAATACCCGTAATTGTCGCACAACTCGACATTTTGTCAATAACATCCCCTTAACTGGGATCGTTGCCCACACATATAACACATGCATATTTTGCCATTTGACCCAACCGGGTTTAATATACCACAATTTATTCTTATTTTATGTCCATTTATATCTTTGGAACCAAGAAACCCACTGTCCAAAAGTATGGCGAAGCAATTTTAAAATTTCAAATTTTTAGAGGACCTTCCGGTAGGTTGTGTCCACTGGAAAAGTCCTATCGGTAGGTTTTGCCTAATGAACAAAATTCTGTCTGTACGAGATCCTACCAGTAGGTTCTACCGGTAGGTCTTGCCCACTGGACTGCGATCTACCGGTAGGTCTTGCCTAGTTTTGCCTGTTTCACTTATTTTTCTTTTCCAATCCATTCCACCACCATCCCATACATGTTTAGTGCAGTTTTTCCCATTACACATGATCCATACAAGTTCTATTACATTCATTTACATACCAAAACTAAGTTTTCATAACAATTTTACAAAAACTCAAAATAAAGCCACATCTCGGCTTTCTTCATCCTTGAAGTCCCGTGTGAGGGCCTTCTGTCGGCGTATATTCCGTACCTAAAATGCTTTCCCGTATAGGGTGAGCTACGCTCAATGGAGTATCTCCTACAGAGGCTACTCCCCCCTAGATGTATATGAAAATGTGCATATGCAACAATCAACAATCATTTTCCATTTCAAACAAGAACATGCCATTCAATGTTGGAATTCTATCATGTCATGTCATGATATGAGATGATAGTCACTCATGCACTTTATCCCGAGTCTTCACCGACTCACCCAACACAATGTAATGCTAATGTGTAGCAAATATGTCATTGATGAATCACATCCAATGATTATTTTGAAAAAAAAGTCACGAGCTTATAAAATCGAATCATTGTTGGATGTGACACATCAAATGACTATTTTATAAAACAAGTACACTTTTCTATAATTTCACCTCAGGGGAATGTATGAATCAGGTATTTTATAAAACAAAACCATGTGTCTTTGTTGGGTAGCAGAGTTTTAGTATCATTTTTCTAGAATTTCACCTTAAGGGAGTGTATGAACCAGGTAGTCGGGTTTTGCACCCGAGGGAGAGTCTAGTCCTACTTGCTATACCTGACACAAGTTTTTCGTGCAACCATGCTACTCAGTTGGATTTTTAATTCAACTTTTCCGAGTCCATCCATCAATCACCAAGTATAGTGTTTGATCAAACCATGCACACACACTCACACTCATGTCTAATGCCCATGAATGCGATGCCAACTTCATGTCCAATATGCAATGAATGTCAAATGAGCAATTAAACCGCAAATCAACATATCCTATGACAATTTATATCATAATCATATAATTACCACAATTTATCATGATGTTAACATATTAACAACACGTATCAACTCATTCATAACCAACAAAAATTCATAAGCATGTCATTACATATCCTATACCCATTTCCACATCATTCCCAAGACACAATATAAACACATAGCATGTCCAAATAATAACAAATTCTAAGAATTTTCACAAGTGCCATTCCCATATCAAATTCAAGCTAGAATTTGATTTAGGCTATTTTCATACCCAGTTCCACATATCAACAACAATAGGCAAGTGACCTATGTTGTTATATACACTTACCCATTCCATATAACATCCTAGGTAAGAAATAAACCCGAGTAGGAGGAAATCCTACCTCTTGGAGCGTGATATGAGTGGTAGAAATCCTCAAGAACACCTCCCAAGCCCAAAACTCTTGATTTTTCCAAATCTTCTCTCTGAATCTTCGGTGAATTCCTTCGTTTTTGGTACGTAGGCATAACCCTCGTCGAGGTGATCAACTTTAACTCTTGGTCCAAAGGATTCCGACCAGTGGAACTTCGTAGATCGTAGAGAGAAATCTTGATTTTCTCTTTTTTTTCCTCCCTTCACTCTCTTCCTCTTCCAACGTGAGCCAACGGGTAGAATGGAGAGAAATCAGATATTCACCCCCCAATTTATACCCTTTAGTTGTGCGGTCCACATCGCGCCGCACGTTTCTTATTTTCGGGCCCTTTTTGTCCCAAAGCAATTTAATTTCGTCCCGGTTTAAGTTCAAATTATTTTTATTTGAACTTTCATTCAATTATAAGGAAATTTTATAAATTTTATTTTTGGGGACGTTTGTGATGTCACCCGACGCCTATTTGTCTCGTAAAACGTTAAAAGTCCGACTATTTCGGAATTCGATGAAAATTGACTTGACAACTCGATTTCGTAAGACAAATCCAACGGTGAAGTTCGTTGCATCATCCGAGCTCTATAGAAATACGTATTTTAAATCCGCGTTATAGTGAAAAATTACCGTTTTGCCCTTTTTAAAAAAAAGTTCAAATTTACCCGGGTTTTACATTACTTCGCCTGAATCAGTTTGAGGAAGAAATGTCGATCTGGTGGGTTTGTAGGATTTTCTTTCCTACTATTATCTGCTGGGATCATTGAAATATTTGGTGGTCTCCAATGTATATATGAAGTGTCTGAGATGGTGACCTGAGAATGTATTAAAACATGAATCATGGTAATTCCTAAGATGTTGTACAATGTACACGGTGGAAAAGGCTAAATATTAGTGTCTTTCTTACAAGTCTTAGTTTTATCTCATTAATCTCTTATTAGCGTACATTGTTTCTCCCCTTCTTAATGAACCCTTTCTGTTGGTGGGAATGCAGATAAACTTTACTTCATCGATTTTGAGTATGGATCGTACAGTTACAGAGGTTTTGACATTGGAAATCACTTCAGTGAATATGCTGGCTATGATTGTGACTACAGCTTGTATATAGTCTTCCCTTGTATTCCCTCCTTTTTGATTATGATGACAGCGTACATAGAATACAAGGTATTGAGTTTTGAACATGGTTTCCATGCAGATACCCAAGTAAGGATGAACAGTTTCATTTCTTCAGGCACTATTTAGAACCTGACAGGCCATATGAGGTACGTGGGAATGGCAAACTCATTGCTTATGTCTTTACAATGGGGTTTCAATTTGATAATCCCCTTTGTGAGCTGTCATCCCATCTACTTGGTGCTTTACAGAGAGCCAACCAGAGAATAATTGTCTAATTGGTCAAAATGGATATTGTCTATAGTGCAAGACATTATACAATTGAGTTAAATGTCCCTAATTTGACTCCCATGAACTTTTGCTTCTGTACATGAAGACCAAGCCCATGCATGTGCACCTATTACCCGCAAAGGGATCTACCTGAAGGCTTGTTTCTTGAAGGTCTGCTGGTGGTTTCTTGTAACTGCTGTTTTAGCTGACTTAGGTTCTGGTAGTTTTATACATGAGATTTATTGTGTAAAATCACTTGTTATTTGAACAGTGTATCTTAGTGACTGGATCATGTCTTCTAAATTTTTTTGGCTGTGCAATTTGACTCATCTTTTGTATGTGGCATATAGATAATAATTCCACTAATGGAGCTGTTTTTAGGGTGTCTACATCTTGGGTCCCTAGTGTTGTTAACACTTGCATTTTTCGTTGATTTATGTTTTGTTATGTCCTTTGTAGTCTCGCTAGGAGTATCTCATGTTAAATAGTGATCATTTTCTTTGGGATTGTGGGTGTATTCATTTCTTACCAGAAAAGGCTAATACTCCAGTGAATTGCGTTCCAAAATATGGTGCCGTCCCGGAACACTCAATTTGGCAATCCAAAAACTTCAACACTAATTTACAATACAAAATATTCTTCTGACGTGAATGGGGAGTTAGTGCATTGCTATTAGGTTGCGTCATTAGTCATCTCCGGGGACATTGAAACATTTCAAATATGCCACGTACTGTAAAACATGATATGCTGGGAGTAGCCTATACATCCCATGGATATTCTGTACTCTTAACACATGGTAAGCTAGGGGCAGCCTATATATATCCAATGGATATGGATACTTCTAGCGAACTGTTTCCCTTACCTGTTCTTTGCACCAGAAGGCTACCATGCTTCAGATAACACCGCATATGGGTATAAGATTTTGCCCCCTGGCAAGTATCATATAGCATTTAAAACATTTTTGGAAACCTTTATGAAAGCTTGAATTTTTCTTTACAGGTATCTGACAAAGATCTTGAAGCTCTTTATGCTGAGACAAATGCATACATGTTAGCTTCACACTTGTATTGGGCTCTGTGGGCATTAATCCAGGTACTTCATTCTTCAAGGATTTTCTTCTCGAGCCCCATAAATAAAACATCTAATGTTTTTCCTCCATTTTTTGCAGGCAAAAATGTCTCCAATCGATTTTGATTATCTCCGTTATTTCTTTCTGCGATATGATGAATTCAAAAAGCAGAAGGAGAAGTGCTTGTTGTTGGCGCAGTCATACACGTCGGGCTGAAATCTATCCTTCAAATGCAACACTAGTAGCACACTTGCATGTTGTGAATTTGTTGGGAGACCTTTGTGACTTCTCCAATTGATATATTGTAAAATATTCTTTTGCAGCCATTAGGAGAAAGTAAGGAAAACAAATTTTGAAAAATAACGGCGTTTCTTATGCTCTGTTGTAATCCTGATACTAACATGTGATAATAATACACCTTGGTGTTTCTTGTTGCACGACAATTCTTTTTCCTGATTTCACTTGACAGTGTGTGCTCCAAAAGCAGGACTATATTAAAGATGTACGATATGAATTTACTAGCGATAACCCATGCTTGAAGATACAAACACAAGCAAAATACAAAAGGAAAGTTGGGGGTTTGCATCTAGAATGATTCTGAGTGTTGGTGAAAAGATTAAAAGAAAAGTTACAGGCAAAATGTTTTTGGCAAATTTGTTCTTTGAATTTAGGAAGTTGATTTGGAAGATCATCCCTTCTCCAATTCAGCTATTTTCACACACACACACACACACACACACAGAGGTGGTAAATGGGTGGGTTGAGTTGGTTATGAGTTAGATTAAATTCGATTGGGTTAAAATAAATTTAATTTATTTTTAACTCATTTAGTAAATGAGTTATAATGGGTTAGGTTTATAAAGGGTTGAGTTAAATCGATTAACCCATAAAATAATTAAAATTTTTAATGAACATATTAGTACATCAAAACACCCACACACATTAGTAGTACACCAAAATACAAACATACACACACTAATACACCAAAACACACAAACTAATACACTAAAATATACACTAATACATCAAAAATACACACACATATACTAACCCAAAAACTAAAATACATTTAATAAAAAAAATACACAAATAATGGGTTGGAGTGATTGTGGGATATGGGTCAACCCATGGGTCGCAAGTCGGCCCATGGTTATGGGTCGCAAGTTGGCCCATGGTTATGGGTCGACCCACAGGTCAGGGGTCATGGGTGGTGTATTAGTGTGTGTTTTTTGTGTACTAGTGTGTGTATATTTTGGTGTATTAGTGTATATTTTTTGGTGTAATAGTGTGTGTATTTTGGTATATTAATATATTTATTTAATTTTATTACTTGTGTTATTTAATAAAAAATAAATACTCAACTCAATGGGTACCCATTTGTAATCCACATTAACCCGCTTAACTAAAATGAATGATATTATCCAATCTATTTAGAACCCATATTCATTAATATAGGTACCTAACCTATTAATTTATGGACGAATTAGACAAATTAATAGATAATGAGTTAAAATTGCCACCTCTATGCACACATAAGTAGGCATGGTTCAAAGAAATCGGCCAGCACCCACATATTTCAGCCCAATTGTGCCCGACTTGGCACCTTCCGAGTCAATACTGTTTTCACGATTAATACTGCTCTCACTTGTTTGTGATCACGTGACTCAGTCTTAGATGCTCACGTGACTGGGCCGAAGCATATAAGAGGTCTCTGATTCAATTGGAATCGCTCAAGTCATTATCACTCAATCGATTCAATACTGTTTTGCAATGCCAAGACCAATGTTTATAGACATCATCATGCAAGAATTTTGGCCTCAGGATTATTTCCAGACCAATAATAAACAATTGCAGATGTTCATTCTCTCACACATGATTCTGTATACAGTGAAAGAATCGTCGACCGCATTGAGAGGTTGTGCTGCTTTCTCTTCTCTCCAGCACTCTCGGACTGATCATCTTGCAAGCATATACTAGGAATATGACAGAATGGGAGCTTTAATATGAGGAAGTAAATAGCATTCAAAACCACCTGCTCAAAGTTCAGCATTCAAATGATGAAAGATCAATCCAATGATACAGATCATGACTTCCTATAATACAAACTCGAAGTATGACAATTGCAGATGTACATCAGAGGAAAATTCGATTGGTTGATAATATGCTCTTCAATTTCTAAAACATGTGAAAACTATGTATGACATAAATATTTGCTACATCACAATCTAGAAGGACAAAAAAAAAAAGCAAGACAAACACCCTCATAGATTTAGAACCACAAGGTATATATTTCATCTTACAGCTACAACAATGGGCTTGTTCAACTACCGAGAATTTGAGACGAGTTTTGACCAATCTCTCCATGCATGCAGCAGCTCATCAAAAACAGGAGCAAAGATGAGATGTATAGACAACAAGCCTCCATTGGTTGTCTGTGATTAGTATCTTCAAGCTTGAAGAACCTGGCAGTGAACAATGTGACTTTTAAGACGGTTCCTACCGGCAAGGCTTGACCAAAAGTTTGTGACCAAAGTCTTGAATTGCCCTTTTCCTGCAATAGTTTCCCATAAATGTTCAGCAGAGGCTCCAGTTACACTGTCCGATTTAGAAACATCAACTAGGGAAATGCTCATATTATTTCGTATAATGCACAGCTTTCCATTAAGAGGGACAAGTGCTGCTGCTTCTAAAGCCTTAGAATTCCCCAAATGTATCTTACTGTCAATATGCTTGTTCCAAGAGTCAGCCGCTTCATCATAAACCCTGATTTTGCAGCCATCTTTGCAGTCCAAAGCATAGAGCTGCCCATTTAAGGTAGTGCTCGGGTTCCTCCAGCCCGCTATCATGCCGTCATAAACAGGGTACCAGCTATCAGTTTCAGGTTGGTAGACCTCACTCAAAACCTGTCGATGAGACCCGAGCCCCTTCAAGAACCACTTTCCCTCATAAACAACCCCAATGAAGGGCACCATTGCTGTGCTCATATCTGAAATGAAGGACCATCTATTCTTGATAGGATCATAAACTTCAGCAGATCTCAAGGATCGGTGCACTCCCTCGTTCTCCCCACCAGCTACATACAAACAGTTGTTTATGACACAACAGCCAAAGAAATGTCGCCGCCGAAGCATATCTGGAGCACGGTGCCATTTATTAGTTCGTGCACTATAAAACACAACCCGTCTCATGGAACCCTTCACTGGGTCTTTGCCACCAAACAAATAGAGGTGACAGCCACTAAGAACAGCACATCCAAACCCAAGGGCTTGAGAATATTCTTTTGGGACAGGAGGGAGAGGCTGCCAAAGCTGGTAAATTGGGTCAAAGGCATGCCATGAGATTTTTTTATCTCGGTCTCTCTTCATGACATATATCCATTCTTCAGCAATTCCTATGGTCTTGCGAAGCGAGTGAAAGAAATTACCAGACAAAAGGCGGTACCATCTTTTGCAGACTAACCGCAGCTTACGGTGCTCAATTCTTGGGACCCTGATTAAACAAGCAATGGCAAGATCATCAGGGAGTCCTGGAAGCAAAGGGGATTGGCTTCGATTTCTGTCACCACGTGCTGGCTTCTGCCTTGTAGGATGAATGGATGGTTTGATGGCAGGCTGAAGACAAAGCTTTGTACCAGGAACATATTTCTTTGCCCCACTAACAGTTTTGAGGCCTGCATCAACTCTACATAGACATGTTGTATCAACCTGCAAATATATGACGATGACGAGTAACCAATTCTTTTAATCAATTTTTTCTAGACAAAACAAAAAAATAAATATCTTTTACTTTAGCACTGTCAGTTTTGAAGACAGTTATGCTACATATAAGTAGATCTCACATACATAACATGCACAACTACTGAACTTGTGTTTTCCTTTCAAACTAATGAACACCTCCATCTGATGTAACTAATCTTCTTGTTCCCTTGCTTATGCCTGAAAAAGATAATTTCAAAAGTACCGCTCACTAACGTGGTATGAGGTATATCTTGCTACTTTGCCAGTAGTTTGATTCTCCATTTTTCAATTATGTATCAATCTCATCACAACTTGGTAAGCTCAACATAAGCAACTATTTGAGAACCACACACACATGTATAATGACCTTTACCTATGACAGTTGGACAGAGTATCTGAATGCAAACGGATTGTAATAGCTTGGAATCATGGCACAATCGATAGAATTTTCCGAAAGTTTTTGTAGTTGGTAAACTAGAATTTTTCTTCCATATATGGAGGAGACAGAGAAAGTGGGGGAGTAAGAGAATAAGGATGGGTGGTTAAATGTTTGTTTTTGTTTGAGATCAAGTGGGAAGTGGGAATTTAAATTAACTAGCAGTTGAGACAGGGAGACACCAAGTTGGAGGCAAAGTTTGCTATCCTCAAGTTATAGTAATAGATGATGCAAGCAGGATGGATGACCATTTTTAGTGTCCCTTTCAAGACTAGAGGACTCCTCACAAGCAACAGGAGTGCGTGACTGCAATGTGTGCAAGAGAGAGAGAGATGTTGGACAGAGACCAATTACAAGCAAACTTGTGCTTATAGGCGGTTGAGAGCGGTTGAGAGACAGAGAGACCAAGTGGAGACCAACTTGCGCTCTTCTGTAACAATAGGCTAGAGGACCCTGCACATATGATGCGCGAGCTTAATTGCAGCATGCATGACTATCCAGAGAAGGAAAGAAGGATGGTGAGAGGGAGATGTCGGAGGGCCAGAGAGACCGAGGAAACATAAAATCACAGAATCAAGTGAAGACAAACTTGTGCTCTTCTTTAATAAAAGGAACTAGGGGCCCTGGACAAGCAACCCATGTGAGCTTGATTGCAATTTGTGTGTACTGTACAAAAGAGAGAGAGGGCGAGAGGGCGATGTTGGACAGTGAGAGAGACCAAGGAAAACAAAATCATGGACCATGGGAAGTTGAGCGCAGGTAAGAGATAAAGGGACCAAGAATGAATCCTTTTTTCAGCGGGTGGTGGGTAATTTGAGAGACCAAGTACATACAAACCCCTGCTCTCCTTCAATAAACTATATTAGATGGACGTCAATCATGTAATGTTTCCCTTGGTGCTCACTGCATGGCTGCACCATCGAATCATTTGTACTAACAAGAAATCAAAAGGAAATAGTAAAAATGCTATCAACAGTTATGTCCAAAATGAATGCAGGGTTGTCAGGACTCCGACTCACACTTCTCTAATCAATGTTGTAGATGCATTTCTCTTTTAATAGCTCTTATATTTGATAAATTCACTTCTCAAAAAGAAGTCAGAATCAACAGAGAATTCACAGGGAATTGCATTTCCAACACAAAGGAACAAGGGATTCTTAAATATGAGAGAGAGAGAGAGAGACAGAGAGAGAGGGAGGGAGGGAGATGAAATCAGTCATTAAGCTAAAAGGTTCACAATAGGTCCGTTGTGTCAATCTACCCTGTTCCGAATGTTGTAGGATAGAAAACGATCATTATCGTTGTCCAATTCATTTTCAATCATGAATTGAAGTTTATTTCCCTTTCAGAATATTTATAGATTCTCTTCATGAAAATAATTAAGGCCTGGGTATCTTTAAGCTAGTATGCAAGATACGTAATACATAATTCAACAATGACAATCAAACTTTTAAATTAAGCAGTTCCAATATGGAAAAAACTATTTAAACAATAGGTTGGCATAGTGATGAATTTCATCAATGAATATTTAAACTTTTGATATTAGTAAAAAGGGAGATCCAAAAATTTACCAGAGGAGGCTGAATAACTCTGTCCATTCTTGGACATTCAATAACTTGCCAATTATGATTTCACCAATATCAATGCACCTTCAAAATCAAATACCTATCTCTCAACCATTAGATTGTATAGAGTACAGATATACGCCAGAGATGCACAAATTATCACATCACTCTTAGGAATTAAAATTCACATCCATGGATCTTTGAAATTCCCACAAAAAGTAACACATCTGGAAAGATCAGAGTCTGTTAAGTCTCACAAAACCCATTTCACATGATCAAAAACCCATCTCAAAAACACTTGATATTTAACCAAAACCAAGAATCGTCCCCCGAAGGTGAAAACCCAACACAAGAATCACAAGGTAATACCAGCTCAAATCACCAAAAACACATAGGCCAAAGTCAACACAAGCAGATCAAAACCCCATCCCCACCATCACAAACTTTCAATCTTCAAAGCCCATGTACAAAATCAAAAACCCACATTGAAAAATCCCACTATACCAACTGGCATCAACTCAAGAGAGAAAAAACACAAAACCCCAAAATGTTATCTTTGAAAGAACCCTAGAACCCCCAAATGCGAGCCAGCAAGAGAATGGGCAAAGAAAAAGCACTGATGAAAGAAGGAGATAGAGACCCCTTTCTCTCTCACACCATTAAAACCTTCAGTGGAAAACTGGGCCCATGACCTCAACGGTGCAACCTACCTCGCACAAGAGGTTTTTTAAGAACAGAACAGATCAGCACAGAGAGAGAGAGAGAGAGAGAGAGAAGCAAAAGCAAAACCTAAACCATTAATAGGGAGGAAAGAACCAAAGGGGGGGTTGTAAGTTGTAACTAGATAATCGGATTAAAGAACATTAAAATTGGATGGTAGCTTTTGTCTCTTAGATTTTGATTATTCTAGATGGTTTATATAAGAAAAAAAAAATATTTATGCATGTTGACAAAAAATTAAATACTATTTAAATATTGACTATAACCCGAAGAGTTGAGAGATAAATAAAACTATTCATTAAGAAATGATATTATTTATTGCGCGACACAAAATGGATCAAATCATATAATAAACGTCTTCGTTGAAAAATCAATTTTTTTTTTATTTTGCAAAAAAGTCGTGCTATATTAAATTCTAACATTATTGGTGGCAAAAAAGTCTCATTTAGAAGGTCCGCCATTTATTTTAATTGTATCAGAAAAGTTAATTTTTTAAAAATGTTGTTGCACAAATGTAAATAAAAAGATGAGTATACTAATTTTTTTTTCTTTGAAGTTTGAAATTAATTGAATTAGGTCATAAAATTATTGATAAGGATGTAATTTATGTTTTTGTAAGAAATTTATAATTAGATTAGAATAGAAGATGTTATTGATGATGCTTGTACAAATTTGATATGGGTTATTAACACTAGGATTTAATTGGATTAATTTTTATTTTTTATTTTTAAATGAGGGTCAAAATAAAGGGAGAGTCCAGTAGTACAGACAAAGATTTTTTTTTTTTAATATAATAGTGGGACCCATATTTCCTCAATTCCACCAAATGGCTGAAGTAGTAGAAATTTTCTATTTTGTATGACCCACCACCATGGCATATTTGACTTGCCTACTCCACAAAGGGTATTTTGGTCTTAAAAAAATGGACCCTCAGATGGTATGCTCATGATCCCCAGTTCCCCACTGGCCTCCTTAGACAAATGAGATTAGATTAAAGTGATTGGACTATGATAACAAAGCTATCACATCTATGCTTCTACTTTGTTAAGTGGGGTTATTTTTTCAATTCAACAATCCAACTTATCAAATTATTTGTATCATTGTTTTGAAGTAGACTATACGAAGATTGACTTATCTATTTTTCTAACTTTCGTATCGACTATAAAACTAATGTTCGACTATAACAATCAGTCTCGAGCAAATTTATATTTGCACTGCATGGTGATAATAAACTTTAGCTTGGCGGAAAATAAATAAGACATTTGTTTCGATGCTTAGCCTTTAATGGTCTGTAGCACAACCAATACGACGAACTAACAATCTGCGATCAACCCTTATTTATTTCATATAATTAGGATTATTCCACGGTTAAAGACTCATTTTGAGCTCATTTTATGCTGTGTGTCACCTTTTATCCTCCCTCAATATGGTAGCAGTAGCACCCCCTTTCCCATAATTTCGAGTTTCTATAAGTTTACATCCCAGTTGGATGGTTTCAGCCATCCACCATTTTTCTACTTACAGTTTTTGGCAAGTCATGGCCTTTTTAAGATAAGAACTTGGTGCTCAAATGAGGATGGTATGAATTGTCATAAATCAGCTGAAATGCACCCCAAAAGCTCATACTCCTAATTCCATAAGAAAGAAGAGATCCCATATGAAAAAGTCTATCAATAAAAAAATAATTCAGTGTACAAGTTTTTTGGTATTGTGAAGTTTGGGGAAGATCAGATATACACAGTTTTATTTCTATAAGCAAGAAAGTTGTTTTTGTGACTCAAACCCTTGACGCACAAACTATACTGAAATAACTTACCAATAGAGTTAATCTAGACGAAATTAAAAGAATTAATCAAGAAAATTAATTCAAACGTATGCATTGAAAGATTTGCCTCCAATTTTATAATTTTATAATCTTCTACTAAATAAGACTAGCTGTTCATTGGTTAAGTAACCTTAAAGTTGGTGTTCAGACATGAAAGTAGTCACTTTGTGTCAATTTGCAAAAGATAGATTTATATCCAATTCACTTTTTTAAATATCTTTATTAATGAGAACAAAGTTTGATGTTACTCTAGATATCAAAATCTAGTACAAATAAAAAGTTTTCTTCATTGTGACATGTGTCACGTATTCTAGTTACAAAAATAATCTCTTCTCAAGTAATGATATGATTGTATGAATCTCGTTTTTCTTAAATTTTATAGTGATGAAAGTCTCTATGTTATGCTGGAGATTTTTTTTTTTCCCTTCTCTCTCTAACTTTCCCACTAAAGTAACCAAATGCTTGGTGTGATTTTCACCCAAGGTGGCATATCAGATAGACAAATCAATTTGAGTATCTATCAACTTGTCAATACTATTATAACATATTTGGTTAGGTATTAACATGACATCTTAGGAAAGAAATAGGTAAAGAGTTCCTAATAATCAAAAAATAAATAAATCTAACAATTACACTTTTCAAGATTTTTTTGTCCCGTAAATTAGGGATACAACTCGGGTGAGATGGACTAGTTGAGAAGTCAACTCTAGCTCAATCCTAACCCTAATCTTAATTCTAACCCTACATCAACCCAAGGTACTCAACCCGAGTACTGTCCAAGTTTAATTCGGGCAGACTCGGGTTGAATTTGAATTACTTAATTCATGTTGATTTTAGGTTAAAAATCGGGTTGGTTTAGATTACTTAATTCGGGTTGATTTTTTGAAGTATAAATTTGATTTTTTCAAGTGTAGATCTAATTTTTTCAAGTGATCTGAGATGAAGGACGAGACGCAGATGAAGAAAGAGGGAGGAGTGACGAGTGAGAAAGGGAGGCAGATAGTCTAAGATGACTCATACGAGTGACGATTGAGAGATGAAGGTTGAGAGAGGGAGGAGTGATGAGTGAGAGGGATCTGAGAGTGATGGAGGTACAAGGATGAAGATTTGAACTGAAATGAAAGTTTGAACTTTAAAAAGTGAATATAAATACTAACTCTGATTAAATATATTTATGTATATTTGGGTTCAACCCAATTTTAATATTCGAGTTAAACTCGACAACTCGAGGCCTCAAACCTAGACTTGCCCAAATTCAGTTCGGATTAAATTTTTTTTACCCAAACCCAACCCAAGTATTAAAATTTCTAACCTAATCTCTATTTTTTTAAGGTTAAACACGAGTTGAATTTGAATTAACCCACACAAGTTGGACCCTACTATAAATGCACATTGGTTTCTGTAATCATATTACATTTGGTTGTAGTGGGGGAGATGTTGAAAATTGTCTTCCTCAGCTTGGGAAGCAAGAAATTGATGATTGTGGATTTTTGGGAAATGATAAAGTCATTGAAGTGGGGTTCACATTAACTTTCCTGCTCACACACACACACAAGGGAGGAAAGTGATTCTTACAATAATTATTGAATAAAAATCTCAGATGAACAATGCTCATCTACTTGTATTTTGCATATCCCCTCGGTTACCATTAGCAAGGAGACAAAAGCATTCCAATTCTAACAGATTGTAAGAGTATTACTCATAGTCAAATACATACCCTCTTTCCCTATTCAAAATATGGATAAACTCCTAATAGAGAGACCATATCAGAAGATGTCACATTAAGTAAGAGCTGGGAAAAAAAATTGGCATGCCATTTGATTACATTATCTATCCCTCACCGGCACCGAATAAATTCAAAAGTCATTTCATTTCGATCTGTTCTAATGATGTACAACTGATCAGAGGTTTCTGGCGCTTCTAGGGATGAATAACTCAAAAGTATAGACCGAGTAAAATAGAATCAGCTTTTCTGTTGTTTGCACCAAGTTGGAATCATCAATCACCAGCAACCAAAACTAGATTCCAGGTGCCGCCAATGCTACAAACCATCCATATCAAGCACATGCACCCTTCAAGTAAGTCAATATGGACATAAGAATTTTTCTACTTCAATCCCACAAAGTTTAATCTGTACGCAGCAGATCAGTTTGTGGCTTGAATGTACCGAGCACCAAATATGGCAGAATAACGATGCAAGCCATGAATAGGGTGAACTGCAAAAATGTAAGAGAATGATTAGGTACTCACCAAAAGTAAAATGGCGCATAACTGCAAGTAAATACATAATAGGAAAACACATGAGATGTACCAAAAGAGGAATGGTCAAGAAACTCCAAATTGGCCACAAAGCAAAAGAGAACCTACATCACAAAGAACAGCAAGAGCAGTCATGCAAATGCAAGAAAAATAAAAACCAACCTAAAGGGAATTATGATTTTCTTACAAGCAAAACGAGATGAGACCCAATAAGGTTATAAATGGAAGGGCAGCTGTACTTGAAATTTCCCACTTCTCACTGGCACCCCAAGCTAACATACTTGTGTACAAGAAGAAGATAACATTCAAACTGACACCAAACATTCCAAGGTATAATGGTATTCTGCACGAAACATATAAACAGTGGTAAATAAAAGGCAGCAGAAAGATGCATCTCGCTTCATGTTTCATACACATGGTGAATCTGAGTTTCTGAATGTACATATGTGCAAAAAATAGAGAGTTGTTCTTAACAATTTTATGTTATAGTCAAGCACTAATACACTGTACAGCAAATGGTGAAGGTTTTGAACAGCAGCATTGGATTGGGCAGGTCTCAGGCCAGTCCTATACAATACCATGAATGGACAAGTGAGAAGCACTAGAAGCATGTGTGAACATGACATCAAAATAAGTTCCTGGTAGAAGTGTGAGTTCAAAAACCAAAATGTAATAGAGCACCAAAAGAGGATTCAACGATATCCATGTTACTAAATAAAGAAATAACTGAGCCAAAAAGGATATTAATAACTACGTCTCAGACTTAGTAGACAAAAATAATACATTTTTCTCATTTTCCTAAGAATTGCATAGTTCAGAAAAAACTAGGGGTACAACTCGGGCGGGTTGGACAATCAACCCTAGCCCAATTTTAGGTATATAATCTTCAATCCTAACCCTAACCCTAACCTTACCTCGGGTTTGGAAACTCAACCCGAGCACTACCCGAGTTTAATTCGGGTGGGCTCGGGTTGATGATTTTGGGTTACTTTACGGGTTCAATTCGAATAGAGCCCAAAATAGGCTTGTTGCTCTAAACCTAATACATATATTACATAATATTCACCTAAATTAACAACCAATAACTTCAACTAAGTTTTTAACAAGAGAGGCTGAGAGAACGAGAGAGGCAAAGAGAATGATGGAATAAAAATGAAAAATTAGTGCTAATGTTTTATATATATATATATATATATATATATATATATATAATTTTTTTTTTAATATGTCGGGTTCGGGTTGAACTCGGATTCACGAGGCCTTAACCCGAGCCCAACCCAAATTGAATTCGAGTTGGAGTTTTTTGATCCAAGTCCAACCCAAATATTAAAAATCCTTACCCAAGCCCTAATTTTTTTGGGTTGGGCTCGGGTTGAAATCGAGTTACCCAACTCAAGTTGCACCCCTAGAAAAAAACCCCGGATGAATGCCTCAGGCATACACCTCATTTGTAAAACAAACTCTAGTGTGGGAAACTGAGTCCACACACTCCACAGAAGCTGCAAGGTGAAAGCATTCTGACACATTTTGAATCTCACCCATATTACAACAATTAAAGGACAAATTACCTGAATGCAAATGGAGAAAAACTACACAAAGTGACAATATTTTTCTTGTTGGTCAATCCAACATCCTCCAATCAGGTAGGAAAGGTGAAAGCAGCATGTCTTGGGCCTTTAAACTTTTAGTGCACATAAATCCTCAATCAATTCATTTTTTCCAATTTACATAGGAACATACTAGAGATAACATCTTGAATTCAACCTTTTCAAAAAAAACATCTTGAATTCAAATATTGCGATAAAGAGTGCTAATCCAAAATCGATACCAACAATCGCAAAAGACCATCAACTTACACCAGATATCTTAATTCTTAACACTTTACAGAGCATATATGAAGTAATTGATGAGCGGATATGTGAGGTCCCCTGCAGAATAAGGATATAGAAGTTTAATCCAAAACGAGGAGTCCACGCCACTCTTGAATTCAATTCATTTCGCACTGATAATTAGTTATCATTCTAGTAATTTTGAATACGAAACCATCTAAAATCTGTATTCTTGGTGATAAAAAATTCATCCCAAAAACCCTTTCTTATAAATGTGGTCCAGCCAAGAACCATACAGAACTGTCAACTACAACAATTTTTTTCATCTTTGAGTCAAAAAACTGCATCAATCGAGCAACATTCTACCAACCATTTGAAGTTGCAAACTATGTTAAAGATGTCAATCTCAGTCACTCTGAAAACTGAACAATGATTCTATGAACTCCTTGTAACAAATAAATTGCTAAAGAACTGAATCAGAAACAATAATCAGAATGAGAAGTCTGAGCTTGAATTCTTTACCTTCTAATGCGACCATCATGCCACAAGAGGTAAATAAAGTTGGAGTGCCGATCACCATAGTATAGAATAAAAACTGCAGAAGCAATCCAAAGAAAATTCTCCACAATCTCAAGCCATGTCCGGGTCCTTGGAAATGATGGTGATTGAGAAGGTGGTTTTGAACAAGCATCATCCTCAAGGTCATCGCCACTCGAAGCATATCCCTGGCTATGCCTCTGCCTCATGTATCCACCCCCAACTGGTGTTCCCCCAGACATACTCACAAACAGGATGTTACAAAAAATGAACGAATTCCTAATCTCTCGACAAAAACCAGTTCTTCCACGAAAAGAACATCAAATAAAGATTGCCAGGGATATTGTAATTCCTTACAAAATTATCCACTGACCAAGGTCCAATATGAATGATCAAACAATGTCAACTATAAACAGTGTAAAAACCAGTAAATCACATTAAATTGAATGAACAGAACATTAAATTCATCAACTCGAGGCTAAAACCAGAAATTGATAATCATCTCAAACCCAAAGCCAACCTACTCGCCAAACCAAAAGATCATACAAGAATCTACCAACCACTCCAATCTCCAAATCCCAAATCAACGCCAAAAAAAAAAAAAAACCCTCATCAAATTCCAAGTTCTCACGAAGCCCACATCAAATTCCAACTCCTCACAAAACCCATTTCATTCAATCCAAGACCACCAAGGTTAAAAGATCAAAATCACCCCATCTAACGACCCATTTGGGTCTATACAATCCCAATGCCTTCAATTCTTGAAACCCACATACCTCAACGAATTCTCCACAATACGCATCTCAGACACCTCGGTTTATCAGCTAACAGTTATTAAAAGTAATGAATTTAACGAACAAACAGTTAATAATAGAGAGGCTGCGTAATAAATGACAGACGACCCAAGAAGGGGTTTTTGAGTCTTTGGTGGCTTTGTGTATTCTCGAGGGTCGCAAGAGGGATTTTGTAAGATTGAAAGAGACGTTCTAACTAAGAAGACATGCAGTTGGGTACTGCCAGATTCGTTTCGTGCTCCTTGAAAGAATTGTCTTGAATTTGGAACCTTCTTTGTTTATTTTGAATTTAACTACATTAATTTATTTTTCAGTAATTCTTTTCAACATTAATCTATTGATATAATTAGACCAGCATGTCTGTGCCTGTCAAAAACCAAAAGTTCCATGTCAATAATAATTCCAAAGAAAGTTCAAAATATTTGTATCAAGGCCAATAATATTATATTTCTACATTTTTTTTGGGTTGCATTCTTTGCCTATTTGCCTTTACTTTTGATTTTTTTTTTGGAAGAATTTTACTTTGTACCTTAAAATTTTAAATTTTTTTATTTTATATTACAAAATATTAAATTTTTTATATTATATATTCAATTTATTAAAATTGTTATAATGTGACCCCTTATGCTAGAATTCGTTTTTTTTTTTGGTCAATGTCAATTGGGGTGATTTTTAACGAAAAAAAATAACGAAAGTTAACAGAAGGGTAATAATGCAACATTTTTAATATATTGAGGGTATAAAGTAAAAATTCTTAAATTTTTTAAGATACAAAGTATAATTCATCCTTTTTTTTTTATTTGATTGGAACTTAGCCTAATATGTTTTGAGAAGGTGATAATAGGATCTTGATTAGAGGTATCAACATATAGAATTTGGATCGAATTTGAGTATTTGACAGATTTTGTTTGCACAAATATGTGGAACCATTAAAAGTAATAAATCTAATTCGAATAACAAAATAAAAGCTAAATTTTAGTAAAATAAATGAGTTTCAATCCAATTCATTGTGTACAAGTATATAATCAGAAAAGAATATTGATTCATATTTGAATAATGAGATTTGAATTCATACAAAATTTATACAAAAGTATGATAATTTAACAAGCCTAATCTAATAGCCATTACATTGTTGATGAGTTTCAAAAGCTCATTGTGACAAAAATGGAAAGCGAAAGAGTCTCCACTTTTGTAGTATTTTAATTCTATGCCCATGCCTGGTGTGCTTGGCATTGAGCATGCTTACTTGCTTGCCCACCAGCCACCACTATTGGTTATGAATGCATTATGATGACGTGTAAAGCATAATTAAACAAAATGTAGACAGCGGGTACTTTAACCTTAGTAAGTCTGAGCTCCAAGATTCTTTAGAACGGGATCTAGGGATGGGGTCAATCGCACCAAGAAATTATAGTGGTTTATCAGTTTAGAGTTTGACTAATTCACTCTTCAAATGAGTCACTTACTTCTAGAAAGATACATTGATAATGGTGGAGAAATTACACAATGTTCTTGATAGACTTGGGTTACTTGTCCCATAGTGAGGACTTTTTCCAGTATTTATAATTAAATTCGAGCTCCGCTGAATCTGAGACAAGATCGTCGCATCTTGTAACGTTTGCTTGATTGGGGTTGTGATCATGCAGTGTGATGAGGGAATTACTAGTTTGGCGCCTAGGCTGGCGTCTATTGCCATTGGGGAGATGCTTGGTGGTTGCCAACTATTTTCTCCTCTGTTTCCTCTAAGGGGCAGGTCTAGGGAGATCGAGGTTTGAAACTCAACTCGAGATTTTTGTGGCTGGGCTTTCAAACTGCCAATCTTAGACTTGGGGACTTTTATAAGTATCATCACATTATGCATGCCAACTTAAGCCACCAAAAGGGTTACCTACTCTCCTAAAAAAATGGAAGGTACTTTGTAGGTAAAAGAATGACTAATTTATTCAAGAAAATATATAATTATATTTACCATATGAATATTACTATTAAGTTGTTATGATTGTCTGAATGGGGTTTTTAAATTACAACTTTGGTACTCAAATACTTGCAGGGTGATGGAGTCTCGAAAATCACAGCCCAAGCCCAACGTGCGTGAGAGGTTATTAGTTCCAATGTTAGAGTAGGTTTGGTATATTGATAAGTGGTTCGCCTTGGCCGATAGACCAAGGTTACATTCACTGAAATAGAATTTCTTGTTCCTTGACTTTGTATATTAAAACGTCGATGAACACAACAGGGATTTAGGCGCTGGGCCCTTACAGATGGCCTTAAGCTTATTGGGTTGTGTTCACAGTTGTTTTTTGGTTCTCTAGGATCCCTTCTTTTGTAGGGTACTGTTCTATATATATATAAGGGTCGCTTCTCTTTGTAATTCCTGGAGGTTCCTTCTACCTTTTACCGATATTGTGGGGACCTCATATCCTTGTCCTGCAAATGCCTTTTCTAGTTGGTGCCACTGCGCCCACGATCTCTGTGGCTTTATGCTCCACCATCTTCTGCGTGCCAGAGGATGAAGCTATTGTTAGTTTCAGAGATGATCCCCTTGTCCTCTAGACGCGTGGCATGACGGGGTGGCTTTGAGGCAAAGATCCGATTCCTTCTCTTCAGATTGCCCTTTAGCAGGCACCTGATTGGGCTAGGTTTGGACCACTGCCCCTCGGGTGCTTGTCGGGGCTTGTCCTTTCAGCTCTCTGTCTTGAGTTAATAGGAAGCGCTTCAGGTTGGGCCAATGGATTTTCCTCCAGTTCCTTATGGCTCTTTGGGCTTCTGGCTTATTGGTGGTCCATGCTCAGAATTTTACCCTTATCATAGGGTTTCATCAAGAAAGTTGAAGGTCAATCCATTGGAAACATACATTCTCAAGGTAAAAAAAAATTCTAAAATTACATTTTTGAGTTTAACTTGCCTTTTAGAATGGAAAAAGAAGATGAAATTATGAATTGGTCACCTTAAATGTGGCTTTGATTACCCTGATAGATCTTCTCTGATGGGATCTTGAGACTCTTGATTGCACTCGTTACTTTTCTCAAGAATGAACTTAACTAGGCTAGTATAACGGTCAATCACTGAGCTCCAATGTGAACTTCAAGACTCGAACTTCTAACCTCAGAGTAAGAAGTTTGGTTAGTACTCGACTGGACCATTCCATCGGTGGTTCTCTCTCTCTCCACACATAAAAACACAACTGCTAGAATTTAATTTCACTATTGCAACAATAGTTTCAAAGAAGAGTTTTAATAATGTCACTGATTTTCTCCTACTATATTCCTATTGGCCTTTATGAATAAAATATGTATGGTAATGAAAGTGACCTTCTTGTTAGCCACAAGGGGGAGGTTTCTTGCCTAAAAAAATATATAACTCTAGCTAGGTGTAACCTTACCATCACTTGAGACATCAAATGAGACTAATTATATGGTCTTCAATCTTAATGAATGATGCATTCTAGAACAAAAGAGACCTAATTTGATACCTTGAGCGTGGTTTCTTTTGTTATCTTTCTCAATTTAGATCCCCACTCATCCACTTTTTTTTTTTTTCTTGAATTGTAAATCACTGCTTATGAATAGATGTTTAATGTATCATATGTAATTAAATTTTTCACTAATACATAGTGAATAATCTGCCATTGAAAAAAAATTACAAATTTGAGTATAATTTAAATTTAAATTAATTTTTTTTTTTTTATAGAAGTAGGTAATACTGCATTACTGAATGAGTCAAGTCTTCCAAAAAACATTAAATCAGATTACCCTAGCTGTTACGGCTTCTTTGTGGCTGTGGGCCACACTTACATCTTGCCTAGTAACTTCACAAAATCAAATTTTCCTTACTCAACCTGATTGCATTACTCAATCAAATAGCTTTGGCATGACCTTGACTTGGAACCCTAAGAAAATTTGTCAAGTCTTTTGGGTAACCGAAAAAGACTTGTGACTACCTTTAAAAGGATTAATCAATTTTAATCCATCTTATTTAATTAATTGTGTCAAGTCGATTCGAGTTGATTTATTTATTTTTGTGTCGAGTTTATGTTAACTAATATAACCCGTGAATAAAAAATTTAATACTCAGGTTTACGTCTAAAATTTAATTATCACTTAATTGAACTTATACTCATACTTTTCTATAAACTAAAAATTAACTTAATCAATATAATAATAAAAATGAATAAAAATATCTTTTTTTGTACAATAATTATATCACTACTTAATAAAATATAATAAAAATAATCATTTTATTCGTATAATACTAGTTAAACATGTTAACTTCATTTTATTTATGTTTGATACTAACGCAACTTATTTATTATTCGTGTTAACAGATAGACTCCTTTTGAGAAATAATCAGTTTTAACCCGCTAATTTTGTGTCGATTTTGAATCGCGTTTTCGTGTCGATTCAAAAATTGTCACCCTTATTTTAAATCACCAAAAAACTTTGTGTATTTGATAAACCAATATTTTTCTTACAAGAATTGAACTTAGGACCTCGAAATGGTAACTTCCGAAGGTTTTCCATCCGAATTACCTTGTCGGGTTCAAGACAGTTTTCATTAACCAGTCAAAGACTTCTTGTTGAAGTCCCAATACATTCCTGTGAGACAACCATCACAAAACTGTACTGAGATGATCCTCCGATGGCCACAGTATTCTGGAGACATGGCCCTGATAGTATCATTGATTCTTGTTTGTCATCTACAAATAGCCAACGATCCAATTCGTGAAAAGTGAGAGGAAAGATAATCTAAGCAATGAACCTCAATAACAAACTAGTATATTGCAACTAAGATTACAAACAAGGTGGTGTGTCACACCGCCAATCTTTTCCATTGACGAATGCAACAAAAATTTACAATCAATGGATCCCACCAGCACTGCACAGGTTAATCAAGTCAAGTAGCGTAGAATACAACACATCCAAAGATAAATAACCCAAGAATTTCCGAGTTTCGGAACCGCCATCAGAAATGTCTGTCAGTTTTTGTTCCTCTGTAAATCCATCCTCCACCACCAACCACCAGGAGATGCACCCTTGGGTATCTTCCGGGTTCACATGTGCCACCAGGCCAAGCATTTCTCCTTGCTCCAACTCAAAGGACAAGCATAAAAAGTCCCGGTTGGCTTTTATTCCCACCATAAGAGCTTGCTCATGAAGCCATCGAATAACTTGGCTTGCAACCTATGGTAAAAGTCCGGGACAACTTTCATTAAGCATGAGAAAGATACCAGTACCACAACATCCGCATTAATGATTTCTCCTTTAACTAATAATCGAAAATACATGTACATAACTGTATATAGAAGACAATGTAGTAAGATTTTTTTGGTCAAAATGTAGTAAGATTTAAGTGCCATGTTATGCATAACAAAAACTTCATGCAATCCAAGGGGCCTGAACACTTCGGCAAACTTTATCCACATCAAAAATATTCTGAATAAAGTCCCAATCCAGATCACAAGAATGAGATAAAATAAAAAGAAGTCCAAATTTTCACATGCATAATGCTTATTTGCATAGCTTTATGGATGCAATCACTAGAGAAGGTACATCATATGATCTCAATTAGAAAGAAGGCGACTCGACTACATCAACAGATGCAACACATATCCATGAATTCTTTTCCCCGTGAAAACAACCCGACAATTAAAGTAAGTCTCAAAGCCAACTGACATATCGACATATCTGCCAATTGACGTGGTCTATTACCAGTAACTGACGTGGCAGGCAATAGTCAATTTGAACCCAAGCCAAAGACCAGGTTGGAACCCTACAGATGCATCAATCTTTGCTTAAAAAATCTGAATAATTTTTATTATAAAAGATAGTTATTCAGCTATTATTTATAGTCAATATCGTTCTCTCTTATTTATCCAGGGATACAATCTCAAAATCAAATTTTAAATTGAAGAATTCACATAGACATTTATGTATAGTCCTGATATTAACAGAATCAAGTATTATTTAAGGAGAAAACAGCGTCAAGACACCAAGGTCTCCATGGGGCAATGAAGCTAGGCACATGTTGAAAATAGTGTGTGATAATTATAATTTACACTGCTAATACAACCAATATTACAAAATTTTTAAGCAAATATTATTTATTGCATATCCCAGCGGTAGATATCAATAATATTCCAAATGGGGAAAAAAAATTCTAGGCAGTTGGATATTCTTAGCAAAAAAATCAATTTTCATCATCCAATTTCAGCAAATTATATTAAATATAGACAGTATTTGGCAAAATACAGCTAATTTAAGAATTATTCCCATCCTTATCCAATTTCAACAACAGATTTCATTAGAAGATGTAAAAAGGTTTCTAAACAGAGTAAAAAAGAAAAAGAATAAGAGAGATGGTGATTAGAACAAAGCCAAAAAGGTATAATTCTTCGAACCAAAGGCTAGTGGCAACAATAAAACAACAAAATACAACATTTGCAGAAGTACATAAGAGATGCAATATCCATGTTGGTGGTACATACATTTTGGTTCTACTACGATGCACCAATGAGTAAGGTGCAAATATGGATTAAAAAGAGACAGCAGACAGGTATATGAATTTCTATTCAAAGGAGGGCACGCAAGTCTCAGATACACAAAAACAAAGTCCATACTCCATAACCACTTCCAAAAATGGCAATAATAGAGACATACCTGCTGGAGAAGTATCACAGGAAGATCTGCCAAATCACAGTCATATCTGTTCATGGAACATACATTCTCAGCCTTGCCTTTGAACAGGCCAATTACATTGGGAGCACCTTCCCCTTCTACATTGATGGAATCATCATTTACCATAACCTTAGTTCGGAAATGAGACTTTACATTTTGCACATGGTGTGGGTCAGATGTCTGAGTTCGGCGTCCTGCATGAAGAATGGACTCAGGAAGCTTCATGGAGAGTGTCCATGAAGATGTCCGCGAATGCCAAGTGGGATGAGATATCAACTGGACATATGGTACCCTGGAAACCTTTGTGAAAGAAATTTTTTTCAGATAAACAGCAGAATTGTCCCACAAAAATTTTAGACAAAGCATCTTTTATCTAATTATTTTGCTTCATTATTAATGTGAAACAAGAATTAGATATCGTACCATACTTTCCAGCTCAGAAAGAACTTTGCGTGCAAAGATACTGTGAGCAAGAGACATGCAAAAGTGACCCAAAGGATTTAGCCCATCCTTCACTGGCTGACCATGTATCTGGGTTATACCAGAAGAAATTGATCTCTCCTTTGCCCTTTTAAACACATATTCATGAAATATTTGTTGCAAATAAATTTCATAACTAATTTGATTAGGGAACCCCGACTTCTTTATTATATCATGTTTTCCTTCTTCTAACTTCGAGCCATCAAATGTTTCCAGAGGTATAATTGCAGTTTCTAAATTGTCAGTGCCTGCACAATCAACTTTCTGAACATCCTGTCTGGCTGGCACAAGTGAAATGGACACAGATGCTCCTTCATGTATGCTTAAGCGTAAATAGTTTTCTTGTATTCCAGTCACGTTGATACCCAAAGATGAGTTGAATGCTTCACGATTCACCAACTCAAACACCTGGAACCAGATGAACCAAAAAGGTAAAAACACCAGAGAAGCATGAAGTCAATAAATAAACAAAAGATAGGCTTTCGCCCACTGTCCGAGAGTCTCCATTGTGGCCTCATGTGAGAGGTCAAGCCAGGCCTCTATCCTGGTGTGGCTGATCATCTAGACGACAAACCTGACCATTAAAGAAATAAAAAAAAGAAGCCTACCTGCTCATGAAAGATTGCTCGATGAACTTCACGCATGACTGAATGTGTTTCTCGTACAGAGTCATCATCACTCGCAAGTTCTTTTTTTGTTTTTCTGGAAAAATCCTCAACCGAGCCACGAGTTTTGTCTTTGCTGATTTTTCTTGCATTATGAACTGAATGTGCACCAAGAAGCTCAAATTGAAGAGTGCGACGAGAATTTGCAGGCAAATTCACAGCCAGCATCCCAGCTGGGTCATGCTCAATTCGAACTGTAGATATAGAAGATGGGCGAAAGGCAGCTGCTGGATCAAATAATGAATTGTCAAATAAGTCAATGTAGAAGCCCTCATTGCCAGAAGCAGAAGCCACCAGCCGATGCCGTTTAACTTTCCAATTTTGCTGCAACCTATCCGCCCATCAGAAGATATGGTTTAACACATTATTCTAATAAGAATCCTCCTTACTGAGCTTCTCTAATAATTTTTTGTATGGGTAAAAATATTTTTACACTAGAGGGGAGGGGAGGGGAGGTTGGCACCACTACGTTATGGAGGACTTTAACCATTCGGGGTAGGACCTCGGTCCTCGAAACTGCTTTAATCATAAGTGCAAGATATGCAACCAACATTGTTTGTTTTTTATTTTGATGCACTGTGCACATGAGAAGACAAGATGATGGGAATCTACTAAAGCAACATCATATAGGTATGCACATTAGGCCATATGATGACAAGACAAAGACAAAGACGAAAGACGGGAATGGCTGACCATTTTTTGCAAATTCTACTGTAAAATTTTATGGCAGTGTGAGTCTATTTAATGCTGAAGTACACATCAGATACAAGGCATGCTCACCTGATAAGAGCACCATAGAACCTTGCTTCCCTAGCTACTTGTTGTTCCAATGATTTGGCAGATTGCTTAAAATATTTTCCAAGATGCTGTAAATCAGAAACAAACTACAAGTAAGATGCAGTTTAGGTCAAAAAGTAGCTGTCTAAATATAACTTAGTTGGTTGGCCCCAAAATATAAGCCTACACAACAATGCGAGTGGATGTAAAATTACCCTCACCATGCATGGTTACAATTTGGCATACATACATTTGAGCAAATTAAAAAATTTCATGAACAGGAAGTTTGTGACTACAATACCGACACAGGCAAACCTGAAATCTCTCACACAAAAACACAAGGATTATTACCTTGAAGCATTGTAGCTTGGTTGCCGTGGACACCGCAAGATCAGACAGAAGTTCATTTGGTAATTGCTTTGGCCTTGTCATCCCAGCTACTGTCACGGCATCATTAGCCTCCACCTAAAAGAAGCAAATGAAAAATAGAAGTCAACAAATAAGAGCTCAATCTCCTTTAACTATTCTGTTCAGCATTGTGCCCTTTCTTAACGTTATCACGGTATCACCTCAAAGACCCAACAATGAAGTCAAATCAAGTATAAACTTGGCCAAAATCACCAGGCAAAATCCTGCACAGAATTCAAAATTTCCCTCTCAAAGCTTTTACGTTAAATCAAAATGAAACCAAAAGCTAATTGAAAAATCCAACTGAATTCAAAATTTCCTCGAATTCTTCAAGTTAGAGAGACTACATTTGAATCAGCCATACCACTCAGAATTCTAACCCCAAAACCTTTAATTTTGTGCACGGAAATCAATCCAGCAACAAGCAGAAAATGCTTTGCCCCTTCTGTTAACCAGATTAGCTGGGGAAGGGAATAGAGGATATGCAGAAAATCATGTAACCCGCCATACTTTCTTTTTCAGGGTCTCACATTCAATTTGAGAAATTCTCAATTTCTACATTTATTTAACAAGGAGAGTTACAAGTGAATTTGTCTTTCCCCTATCTTTTTCATTTCCACTTCATTTTTTTGCTAAACCCATGGACTGTATAAAGGTTTTATGTTTGGAAGCATGGAATTCATCCGTAAAATTGGAATTGAAGAAAAACTTAATATAAATTTCGAGAGGTCTTTGATTTGATTTCCAAGCCACGAATTCCTCACAGCAAATTACGGCATGAACAACCTTAAAATTTTCAACTGAAATCTTGTTACAGACGCTGTCTTTGGTAGCTTGGGCTTGAGGCACCAGAACTGGAATCAAGGAAAAATCAATTCAAAATTTGGACTAATTTTTACCTATTTCCATTTCTAAACCCCAAAATTCACTCTTACAACGTAACATTAAAAGTCAAATTGAAAGCTAAGCCAATTCAGAATCCAGCATAAACCCAAAATTTCAAATTTGAGCGCTTTAATGCCTTCCTCAATAATAAATTTGAAACTAAAATCTTCTAATTAAATTAATATAACAACTTCAATTTGAAAGCCAAAAATTTTCCCTAATCCAAAAAAAAAACCAAACTTCAATCTAATTCTTCAAATGCATCTTGACAATCTGACTGTGCTCTGTGTAAATATTATAGGAAACAACAGTGAATTGGATATAATACAACTGGCTTACGGTGTTGATGAGATCGATAATGACAGAGAGCTCTTGATGAGCCAACTGTAAATTCTCGACCAAGCTTTGCCATGGCCATGGCTGAGTTGTTGTACTCGTCGTCTCCTTCGTTGTAGAAGTACTCTTCTTCTGCTTTTTGTTCGGCTCCTCTCTCTCCAGCGCAAACGCAAAGTCTATTCTCCGAATCAAATTCACTCTCTTCTCCTCATATCCAACATCACTATACCACAACGGACACACAAATCACATATATATACATACACACAGATACATCAAATTTTACTTTAAATTGCAACTGAATTGAAACGTAGTTTGAGTGAAATTTTTAGAGAGGCAGATAGAGTGAGTACGATGGGAATCGTTCGGCGCCGTTTTCTTCAATAGCTTCTAGGCGTTTGATTGGGAGCTTATCCAGGGAGATTTCTAAGTTTCCGTCCATTTTCTCGAAGATTTTCCGGCAAAATTTCAGAGAAAGTACGAACTATGAATAGAGCCCTAAGAGGAAAGACGAGGAGACTTGGTGAGGAGGAGGTCCAGTGGATTTACGAAATGGGCCCGTTGTTTTCTGTGACCTCATCTTCAAGACTGTTTATGGAGAATATTCGAAGGCCCAATGTTAAAAACAGTTGATATTCCAAGGCCCAATGCTAAAACAGGCCAGACTTTACCTCCGTGACCCGATTAGCTTGAGCACCGTCTTGACTCGGTTTTGAATCGTTCAAACTCACTAAAATTATCAATGTACCAAATCTACTTAGATTTCTAAATTTGCTTTATAAATGAGTTGAATCCAAGTAATGTATAGTTCGAGTTGAATAAGGTTGTTGCCTACAAGTTCATCACGAAATAATACCTATCCAAAATATCAACAACTACAACCTCATTCTTGAATAATATATGTTTTTTGGTCATAATTTTCGTATAGTATCAAATTATATACTTCTCTCACTCTCTTCTCTTTCGTAAACTAAATTAGACAATTGAGTTCAACCAGTCACAATCGAACTTTCCGGAAACTCAAACTTGACAACCTTGACTTGATGACTACTATTACTTACAACAAACAAGATTTAACAATACCTTTGTAGAATCTATTGTATTTGGATTTATACAGTGGTCTAGATAAAATCTAATCCCATTCTTTTTCTTTATATTTTTCATTTTATTATTTTATTCATAATTTTTTTATTATTTTATACAGTGACTTATTTATATGCGTTTATTTGTTATAGTTCATCAGTTTTTAAGGATAACTCGTGTCTGAAGGTACTGATGATGCACAAATTGGTCTTGTGTAAGGTCAATAGTTGATTATGTGAAGCAGTGTAATTAATGAATGTAATACTCAAAAAACTTCAAGACACATGTCTCCACCATAACAGGACAAGTGGCAACAATTATTATTTCACATGGAAATGGGGTCCGACAAAGTTTAGCTGGATTGGTATAAATAACAGTGACAAGTGTGGCATCCTTGGACGCAACGCCCAAACAGCGTCAACTAGACTAGTGTAGATAATAATGTCAAGCTGGACGCCCAAGGCACAACACTCATGCGTGACACCTAAGGTGCGACGCCCCTGGCCACGACCTCTCTGGGCGCGATGCCCCTGGCCACAACGCCTCTTGGTTGCGACACCACCTTGGCGCGTGTAGATAATAATGTCATGCATGACGCCCAAGGCACAACACTCATGCGCAACACCTAAGGTGCAACGCTCTTGGCCGCGACCCCCCTAGGTGTGACGCCCCCTGACTGCGATGCTCTCAAGCACAACAACGCAACAGGGTGACATACATCTCCATCGCATTGGAAGTGGAAAAATGGACCCTTCACCAAGGGTGGACAAAAATGGAATCGCAGAAGTATGAGGCAACCTCGCACGTGACGTCCCTTGACATGACACCCTCTAGGTGCGACGCCCCCTTGGTGCGACGCCCTCTAGGCTCGATGCCCCTAGACACGACGCCCCCTTGGCACGACGCTCTCAGGCACAACATCACAACAGGGTGAGATACGGCTCCATCGCATTGGGCATGACAAAATGGAACTTTCACCAAGGTTGGACAGAAATGGAATCGCAGAAGTGTGGGGGCAACTTCAACGAGACTCATCTCTCCCGCTGCGGGAATAGTATCCTTAACTTATTGAATGTCGTTGCTCGACTAGCTCACTGGATTAAGAGGTGTCCCCACCTAGGGATAAGGGAGTATGACCCTTCTCAAGGGAGAATTGAGCAATAGGGGCGGATGAGCACGGTTGTCAACCTCGACTTGGGGCAAGGTCTTGAAGGTTTAGTTTGCTCGAGCAGGCCTCACAGTGTAGGACTCATTGTCCACTGGGATGTGCTTGACTAAGATTCGGAGAGACTCATAAGGTAACTGGGGGTTATTGGTCTAGATCAACATATGGGATGATGAGACATGTGGATTGGTGGCTAAAGGACCAAAACTATGTGAATTTCTTCTATCAGGTTCCTCGACAAAAGTCTCCAAGAAGGGTCTAGAAAGGAAAAGAAAGACCCCAGGTAAGAGCGCAATGGGGGCATCGCGGGCATGGCCTTCTCGCGGTTATGGTCCCACGATGTCTAGTCGCGATCATGGACCTTTGGAGCCTTCTCTCACCTTGGCTGTCATATTTTCCTCAGGGATACATCTAGGTTGCGTTTGAAAAAAATATCACATTTGCCTAGTTAATGGTAGGACGTATGGCTCGTCGTTAACAACCATTGGTATCGTCACGGTTGAGACAATTATGGGTTAGCGCGAGTGGTAGGGGGTCGCGGCAGGCAGCCCTTTGGGCAGTTTGACATGTCTGAGCACTGTGCTATAAATACCCACATTACTTGTCCACTGCAGAGGATGATTTTTGGCTGGTGAGAGCATTTTTCACCTACCCCCTACCCAACTGGTTCGTCCTTTCGTTAATAGGCAGCTCGAGTTCCTTCCATCCCATCCACTTATCCTACTCACCCCCTTCGATTACACTTGGCATAGACACGTGTGTTAACCTCGTGTAACTCATCTCCTTCATTTTTTTGGTGATTCCACTGGAGAGATTTGTCCTTGCTAGCCTATGCCTATTATAACTCGAAGTGGAAGAGTATTGTCTAATACAATGACTGAAAACAACAACGACAAGGAAGACGAGTAGCAGAAAAGCCCACCCCAGCGCGAGGATAGCCATGGTTCCTCTACGAGTTGAAGGGCTCTAGAGGTGTCAGGGCCCTCTGCAATGGTACAGGCTCTGAACGACATGCCAACTCTGCAACAACAGATGGCTGTGATAATACAGATGATTCAAGCTCAGATGTATTTTCGGCCGCCTGGCTTATCACTTGGTTTGCAAAACCTACAAATGTTCTTGCCAATGCTCCCGTAGTACCCAGTGCTACCACCTTCAACTTTGCCCACATCTCCTCCAGTGGAATTATCGGGCAATAATGGTGTACCACGAAAGTTAAGCTTTTATGGTTTAACTTTGCAAAATCCTACCAGTGAACCCCTACCACTTCCACTGCAAATTGATGCAACTAACCCCCTAGTTCCCTCGCAGAAAACTACCACAGACAACCTTCTAGCACGTTTGCAACAAACTACTACTACGAGATCTCTAACTCCCCTACAACAAGCAACTACAACGGGCCCTCAAAATGTCACAACACCTGAGGTGCCCACTATGACTAGACCCGTAATCACGACTGGTGCACCTCTCTTAAATTTTCCTACGGCTCTCGGATGTGAGCACGCTGTGACTGACTATAACTATGGCCTTACAACTTCCCAAATGGCTCTTCTCACCATCTCTACAAGAACACTAACAACTACCCAAGTGTGGGGTCAAACTATTTTTTCCACTGTTCCCGCAACCATGCCTTCAGTATTTTCGGCCCCCATCGCTACCACCTCGTTTCCACCAACAGCTGCTTGGATGCTACACTCGACTAGCATAGAACGGCCAGTGCCTAGTGCTGGGTTTGTTACACTGGCCTAAGTACATGCCTTACTGTAGAGACAGAAGGAGCCCATGCAAACAACCATGGACATAAGGTCCAAGTTTACTCCCGCTGTGTAACAAGCTATATATCCTGCAGGGTACTCACCGCCGAAATTTGAGAAGTTCGATGGAAAAAATGGCAACCCCAAGGAGCACATTACCTGCTATCTTGATAGCCTTGGCCATTATGTGCTTCACAAGCCTCTTCGGATGAGGGAAATTTTCAAGTCCCTCAAGGACAGGGCCTTCACCTGGTATGCTAACCTCCCGGTAGAATCGGTGAGGGATTGGGACAATTTGGTCGCACAATTCTATGCAAATTTTTTTCATGTCGAGTAGCGTACTACAATACCTTTCCTGACATAGACTATTCAGGATGACGGAGAAGCCCTATTGACATAGATTGACAAGTTCTGTGACAAAGCCATCGAGTGCCAAGAAAATGTCACCGAGGCGACCCTTGTCCAAATTTGCATCGACAGAATGCACAACAAATACAAGGCATACTTGATGAACAGTGACTTTAAAACCTTTACTAGGCTTTGCGAATCTGCTCAAAGACTTTCGAAGGTGGCCCAGCCCTCCCTGAAGATAGCCAGTTGGATGGACAAAAGGAAAGGAGCAACTTTTGTAGTTGCTGAGGAGGTCGCAAGGGGGGTCAGCATCCAAAGAAGCGAGGGAGAGCCTCCAAGCCCGAGGAGCCACCTTCGTATCCTTGTGGTATGAAGGAAGTCCGACAGATTCTCATGGAATGGATTAAAAACGATGATGTCAGGCTACCACAAGTGAAAAAAGAGCCTACTAGAGAAGAAAAAAATAGCCCGACTTTCTATGAATTTCATCGCCACACCAAACACAACCTTAAGGATTGCTGGACCGTGCGCCGACTATTTTAGAAGCGCTCAAAGAGTGGAGAGTTGGTACTGACGAGCGCCGGGGGCAATGTCCATGATCGACCCCTCATAGACCACGAAGAAGGTGAGGAGGTGCACATGGTGTTGTGATGGTAAGTCTCGCGGTGGTACTAGTGTTGCGCCTGTGGGTCATGCGACTTATGGGACAAACCTCAACTTGCCGAAGGTGATTAGCCTAACAAGTCTTTGTGGTCACAATCATTAGGTACCTTAAAAAAATCAGTTGAGGAAGTATGTTCAGGTTCATAAGATATTTGGTGTCGCAACTATATACCATGTTTTCCTTGAATTTAGAAGTATATCAATAGTTGAACTCCATTTTATAATTTGAACCATTAGCAAAGAATCAATGTGAGCCGACCCCAAGGCCAGCGAAGGGACCTTGTTATATGAAGACCATTGCAGAGACCTTATTATTGTTCCTTGAAAAGATGAACATGTCATGTAATCTCCGCGGTCACGACATAAGTAGTTCATCAAAATGCATGCCTAAAAATAAGAGTGGGGACTATTTGCAAATAATAAAAACTTTATGCATTTCATTTATAGGCATATTTTGATCGAAGAGCCAACTATGCAATGAATTTTCTTAGATTGGTATGGCAACCCACTTGAACTATT